GGGGGTGCAGGGCAGAAGGCGGGGGTGCTCGGCTCATGGCAGGGGGCTGGAAGGGATATGCCCTGTTTCACCCTCTTCCACCAGGCTCCGTCCCTACCTCTCTCTGCGTTCTCTACAGAGCTGTGTACACACTGCCGCTCTGCCCCCTCTCCCTCGCTAGGGCCATCAGCTGATTGGCCAGGGACGGAGAGGAGGAGGGGCAGGAAAGCACCATTGGGGGAAGAAGCGGGGGAGGGGGAAAGCTTGGCTGCCGCAGAACCAAACTTCTGTCTCCTGCCCCCGCAGGGGAGAGCAGTGGGCAGGACCGCGGCAGGGAGCTGCGTGCCATTCAAAATCGGCTCGCGTGCCGTGTTTGGCACGCATGCCGTAGGTTGCCGACCCCTGATCTAGCTTTTCCTGGTCCTGCCTCAGCACAGGGGGGGCTGGACTTGATCTCTTGCTGTCCTTTACAACCCTACATGATTTTTCTTCTCCAACTACTGCTCCTGTTCTGGCTCCTTTGTTCCCATTGTGCCTCTCAATTCAGCAAAGACAGGTGGCCAACAATGTTGCTTTCTGGACCTGAGCAGCAGCAGCATGTTACATCCTCCAAATGACAGACATGGTGAAAGGGAATTGGACAGGTAGAAAGGAGATGGGGGGAAAGGCCAGGTGGTAGAGAATCAGAAAGACAACGGCGAGGAAAAAATTGATGAGAGCAAGCTTGTAACAGAGAGGGAAAGGAAGGAAAGAAAACGCTGCAGCTACAAATGGGAAGGCTGGTCTTGTGGCTAATGCACAGAACTGGAGAATCAGGACTCCTGGGATCTATTCCCAGCTTTGCCACTGACTCACTATGCAACTTTGAAAAAATCCTGTCACACCTTTGTACTTCAGTTTTCTCATCTATAAAATGGGAATAAATACTGATCTACTTTATAGGTAGGAGAAAGTACCTTAAAATCCTGGGATTGAAGTATCAGCATTAATTTATTATTAGATGGGTAGACAGGCTGAATCAAAAGGTACTTATTGCACTTCACTTCCACAGCAATGTCAGTCGAGGAGATCCTTAGTACTTGGCACCAGTATTCTCCAGCTCCTGCCCCTCCAGTGTCAGCTCTTCCTATTGGGGCTGGGGTGGAACCCATGCAGCACATAGGGCAATAGCACTCACATGTAGTCTGTTGTCCATCTCCGTCCAACCCTTCTGATGTCTCCTCCTGCCTTGGCATGCTGCTTTTTTGTGGTAGCAGCAATCACTGCATTCTTTTCTTCCTATGCAATAAGCCAGTCAAGGAAGAGCCCTTCCACTTCCTGAAGCTTCAGCTGCAATTATAGAGTAGAAAAAAATATGGGTTAGGTATCTCAATGTAAAATCCTAGTGGAGACAAGATACTGTGGTTTCTACCTCCGTGTAGTTATTCCAGGTAAATCCCAGCTGGGGGTATAGAGTTGACCATGATTACCACATTGCGATACAAATTACCTGTACTTTGTCTCCACTAGGATTTTACGTTGAAGTGGCTAACTTGAGGTAGCTATATCAATGTAAAGACACATCTCTTTTTGCAGTGGAGATTTAGAGGCTGTTCTTTAGGCTGTCTACTTTGGATTTACATGGCAGGAGAGAACTTATTTTAAGAGAGAACCTGCATATATGGGTCTCTTGTGCAATGTACCAAGGTATTTCCTGTTAAATGAAACACCAGTGTTTTGAGCCTATCCTTGGGCATTAGCTCTTTGTTTTTAATTTTTTCCTGGATCTCCCATGGACTAGAAAGCTCACACACATGACAAATTGGGCATGGTGGGAGGCTCTCTGCCATCACTTCAGCAGAAAGAACCAGTGCCTAACACTTAATGGTTAAATCTGTGGCCTGCACACTCCTACAGCATAAGTTTTCAGATAACATCCCTCAGGGTAGCACTGGTTTCATCCACCACCTATTCAAAGGCAAGTATTTAAGGATACAGGCCAAGAATAGGCAGCATATAGTTTCATATGAAACTAAGCAATTTTTATTTATAATACCAACACAATCTACATTATTGTGAACAAATACATTACATTCTCAGTTCATGATCCTAGGAACTGATAAGGTCTTCAATGAAAGGCTTACAGAGGCTGATATCCTGCTACCTGTTCCTCTGGGCTTTGTGGGGGCAGCTCCCCCCTTCTACTCGCAGTACTCCAGTTCTCTTTGCACAAGACACACAGGGCCCAGGGAATTACCAGTGTCAAGTCAGAATAAAATTAAATTATTCCAATAATGTCATACTGGCCAGATGAAAGAGAAAACATTCACTGCTGGTTGTTCATCTGCTGTTAGATTGCCCAGAGCTGATTGGATTTGAAGATGCAGGCAGATGTCTCAGCTTTGAAGTAGCTGGATATGAACTGATGAAATTGCAGTAATATCTCCTACTACCACTCCCTTGAGCTCCCCCCCCTTCCCATAAACTCTGATTCTCCTGTTTCTCTTAACAGCTAAGCTTTCCTTGATCTCAGTTCTTAAACAAGACCCTCTCTGTACTTTCCTCCACTTCCCTGAACAGAGGGAACAGTATGGTTTCAGATCTGGTTCTAGGAAAGGGACTGGCATTGAGGGGCAGTGAAGGGTCTTTGGGGATTTGACAGAGTCTCTCCAATACTCGTGTTGCTCTCTGGCTTTGAGGGTAAGTTATTGTAGACCCAGTAGTGTCTACAGCACTGCTTCCCCCTTTGCACTTGACATGGATTCTTGTTGGAGATGACGGTTGAGAAGCCCTGCTATCCAAGAGCCACAGTGAGCAGGGTGGGCTTAGCAACATCAACTTCAAAAGTCAGGAAATAAATTGTTATGGTCAAACACTGTCCCATTGTGCTTATGCCTTTAATGCAGCATTTTAAAATATAATTTATTAAACATACTATATAATGCAAACTAGATTCTTTTGAATATCCTTACAGAAATTAAGGCACGAGAATGTATTATTTTGTACACATGGTTTAATATTTGTCTCAATGGTATCTGCAAACAAGCCATGTTTAAAGCTATTGCAATGATTTTTTCAAAGTACTGGACATTTATGGCTAAGAGTTTAAGACAATCCCAAGTTTGATACAATCTCTCTGTTCGAAACACTGAGTATGGGGTGGGGGGAAAGGGGGAA